GCTGGCCGGTCCTGGGCCGTCCGCACTATGAGCAGCGATTGTTGCAGCCCTTGTGTCAGTTGGTCTCCCTCTTTTCTGCATCTGGTGCCAGAGCCCAAAGTCCCAACACCTGGTTAGAGTTGGAGGTGAGCCTGAGGCAAGGTAAGCGGAGTCAAGGCCCCCGGTGAAGAATGAAGCACATGAGAGAGATGAGGCTCAGGGACAAGATCCAACGATTAGAACTGGGTCCAGTCCTATGAAACGGCTTAATGAGGGTGAGATAAGCTCATTGGCGAACGTCAAAGTTCCAACCAAGAGCAGGGGATGGTTTGAAGCTCGGGGGACATTCTGGCTTGGCCTTGCTATCCGCTCATTGAGTACTTTGGGAAAGATGGTATCCTTTCTGGGTCTTGCTTCATTCACTCACAAGTTATTTCTCTGCAGACTCACATCCACAATGCTGTGCTGGCAGGAGGCGTGGCTGTGGGGATCCCAGGTCACATGATTCTTTCTCCTTGGGTTGCCATGGTGCTGGGCCTTCTGGCTGGGCTCTTCTCCATCGGGGGAGCCAAGTGCCTACCGGTAAGGATCTGGGACCTGACGTCCCTCTGCTTTGGTTTGGACCCTTGAGGCCATGATGCACCCTTCTGTAGAGCTCAGAGCTGCATTGGGCAAGTCTTGGCAGCTTTCTCAGGTTGGTTTCAAAGCCTGAGTGAGTAGCCTTCCCAGATTGGATGATCAATTTCCCAGGACCCTGGAGCATGAGTAACAGAGCCCGTCTGTGTCAGCTCGGGCGCAAGGAAAGAATCTGTGATGAGTCCACGGGGTGACACAGTTGGATGAACCAACTCATCAGAACAAACTTCTAAGGGAGCTATTTAAAGCCACGAGGGTCAGTCTTCATGGGCTGGAAGGCTTGCGGGAGGAAAAGGAAGTCAACGTGGGGGGTCGCATAAGAAATCACATCAGGATGCACCATGACTATTCAGGGAGGTACTTGCAACCCGAGGTACGGACGAGCTGAGCAACGATTCCGTTTGACCAAAATTGGGGCAATGGGTTGGCGCCTCATCTGTAGGATGGAAACACGTCCTTTATCTCCTCTGGCTTTGAAGCCTTGAGATGAACAACAATGGCTCACAGCCAAGAGTGCACAAGCTCTCACGGGCCTTGTGTCCATTGCTCTCCCTCTGTGCCTCAGCTTCCTTGATGCTGCTGAAGAAGACTAGACAAAGCTGATCCACCCATCCCTCCGTCCATCCCTCTCCTCATCCAGCTCCCCATCATTTTATTCATCCATTCAGCCTACGTGTTCCCACACTCAGGCTGCGTCCCCTGCTGTGGTTGTGTGAGGGAATTAACACAACACAGAGTGTGATAACTGTATAGGAGCACAGCCAAAATAGCCAGGGGCAGGTTGGGAAATGCTCCCCAGAGCAGAGGAGGTCTCAACTGAGTGTTGACAAATAAACAGTACCATCCAGATAGACAAGGGGGAAACAAAGGAACAGCATGTACAGACTCGGTGGTGAGAGGAACGTGGGGCCCGAGGAGGAAACAAGTTCTTACGACTTAAGCGTGGGAGCTAGTGGGGAGCATGGTGGACCCAGAGCCTCGAGAGACGGCAGGACGTGGGTTTATCTCCTGAGCCAGCTGACAGCTCTGGATTTTTATTCTAATGATTAGGACATTTCTAAGGAAGAAACCAGCAGGTTCATTTGGCATTGGCATTGGCATCTATGGACTCACAGCCATCTGAGAGGCTAACTGGCCAGGTGGAAGGGGGTGTGGTCAGGTTCCTCCAGTTTTTCTCGTGCACAGCTGTGTTGTTGTTGTTGGAAGGGGCTTAGACTGGTGGATCCCAACCAGGGGCAGTTGGGCAATGTCTGGAGACTTTTGGGGTTAACAGCTCGGGGGAGGGGGGAAGAGTACATCTGTTGATGGAGAACAAACATCACAGAAGGCAGAGGATAGCCCCCAAAGTGTTTGGTTAATAGTGCGCGTGTTAGACCCTTGCTGCTCAAAGTGAAGTCCATGAGAACCAACATTGGCCTAACCTTGTTAGACATGCAGAATTGCAGGTCCCTCCCCAGACCCACTAAATCCAACTCAACTTCAACACGAGCCCACTCAGGTCTGAGAAAGGCTTCTTTAGGGGAGCTGAGTGCCCACCCACCCCCTTTGGTGACCCGGGATGCCAACCCTCTGTGATGGGGTGGTGGATAGGGACAATCAGTCTCACCTGCAGCCCTACTCATACTGCTCTTTGTCCCCAGGTGTGTTTGAACCGTGTGCTGGGGATTCATGACACCGGCAGCGTGCACTCCACCTTCGGCTTGCCGGGTCTGCTTGGAGGGATCACCAACCTCATATTGATGATGCACTGGGTCGACTGGACCAAGAATTCCATGTGGGTCACTGGACTCACCCCTCAGCACCCATCCAGCTCAGGAAAGCAGTGTGTCAGATTCTCTCGCTGGGGACATGCCGTCAGGGCCCAGGGCCCGTAGGTCGTCAGCAAAGAAGTGTCAGGCAGTTGATTCAAAAATGCTTCCAGCTCCCACCATGTATGGAGTTATCACCTCTCAGGCCACTTCTTTCTAAGGAGGGGGATTTAGGTGGAGGGCAAAGGCAGACACCCCCCACCACCGCCACCCACCATCCTAGACAGAGAAGATCAATCAGACCCAAGCCAGTGGAATCTTGTCTTCCCAGCGCTGCTGGTGTAGGTCGTGGTTAAGAGTGTGCAGTGGAGTCAGAGGGGTGGAAAACCCGGGCTATAACACCCCAGAGGGGCGAGAGCCGCAAAACCTCTCGGCCCCAGTTTCCCAATTGTCAGTGCAGGCAATAGTAGTCTTCTTCATAGTTTTGTTGGGAAGAACCATTTGTTCCTGTTTTCTTGAGCCTTTATTTGAGGGCAGGCACCATTCTAGAAAAACACTTAACCTGAGGAAAATGCTAAGTGCAGCCTAATCCCAAGATTTTACATCAAGGCCCAAGGAAGAGAGAGGCTTAACTGGAGTCTCACCATGAGGAAGTGGCGGAGATGTGGGATGGGAATGTGGAGCTCTGGACAGAGTAAGGGCCTGTGTCCCTCAGACAATGGATGGCAGCGGTCAATACCAGGGCCCTGGCCACTCCTTTCTGGGGGTTCTGGGAGTGCCTTGTGGATGGAGCTCAGATACAATGAAAGAGTGACTTGGCACAATACCGGGAGAGCTGTTGCCAGAGGAACTGGCGCCATTCTCAGAATGCTGCTGACCACTGGTTCATTGCCTGTGGTCTCCGTGCCTGTGCTGAGACCATTGCATTGAATCCTCCCGATCCTCCCGGGGCTCCGAAGAAATGCTATTGCGGGGCATCACCTGCTTGAGCTCACCCGGCTGGAGTCTGTCTGTAAAGGTGGGGAGCACAGCTCAGGGAAATAAACCGGGATGAGCTGAGGCTCCTGAATGCAGACCAGCT